TGTAATAACCTATAATGAAAAAGAATCTGAAAAATATATATATGTATATATAAATGAATTACTTTGCTGTATACCTGAAACTTTGTAAGTCAGACTATACTTCAATAAATAAATAATAAAATACTAATAAAAAAATAAATATGGGATCTTCAGCAAGCTCATCATCCAACACTTCTTTGTAATGAAAGCGACCGTCTCTTGGGTTATGATGGTCAGGCTACAGTCAGTTTTGGCCCAAATTCAAATTACACTGACACACCACATGTATGGACCTACTCCATGCTTATTTCTTCAGTTCCTAAATTTATAACTGGAATAGACATACTTGGCAACTAGCAGAATCCACACATTGGCCATCTGATCTGTGCAGTGAGGGCTATTACGGTAAAAAGGGACAAACAGAAGCCCCTGGCATGTCCCCTCTCTAAAAAAGATAGTAACCCATATCCATAGAAAACCAAATCATAGGAATGGATACCAACATCAAAAAAATTGAAAGGCACGGGGATGATAAAATCTATCATATCCCCATTCACCTGTCTGATCTGTGAAGAATCTTAGAAAATGACTACGTGGATTATCCAAAACATAAACAGGTTGTGACTCCAACTGCAGCTGCAGATTCAGGTTTGGTACCTCTACTGGAGCAAATCAACATCGCCCTGACGTGGTACTTGCTACTGACCTGGCAAAGGCTTTGTTCTATGTACGAATCTGGAGGAACCGCCAGCACGTGTTTGCTTCTTACTCAGGGCAAACAGTAAAGTTCACTTCCTTGCCTTTGAGCTATGCTAACGATCCTGCTCTTGGCCATCAAAACAGTCCGCAAACATCTACATCATCTTGACGGCCCACCAACATCACACCTGTACTTGCACACTAGCACTTTGATGACATGAGGCTGACTGGATCTGAGAAACAGGTAACAGCAAGCACTTCAGTTGGCTTAGTAAAACATGTGAGAGACAGATAAACCCCATACAAATCCATGATCTACTAGTCCTCAATGAAGTTCCTAGGGCTCAATGGTCTACAGCATGTTGGGCTATCCCTCGAGGTCAAAGACAAGTTATTGCGTCTTCTACTGCTTACGACCCAAAAGGTGGGCTTTGTGAACTTAGGAGGGAAAACATACATACCACCTTTGAATGTTGTCCCTCTGACTCATTATCTGAGAGACTCATAAATTTAATAGTTTTTAATGGAACTGGAGTGAATAAAGGCTCTGCTGCAATTCCAACTTGCAGTGTAAGCTGCTCTGCCATATGCTGGGCCTCGTGACCTAGCATGTCTAGTGATATTCTCGGTGCCTGGAAAATAGGGGTGATGCATGGAGCCCCAGGGAAGCATCAATAAGTGAATCACAACCCTGATCTTTGGGTCACTATATTCTGAAGATTTGTGTCCTCCTCAAAATTTACATTAGATTCCTAACACCCAATGTAAGGAATGCTCCTCATCAACGATGACCTAGATCCTGCCGCTCCAGCCAACACGAGAAACCAGTGCTGAGCCCTCAGCCTGGCCCCATATCCTGGGGGGAACAGCCAGCCATCTAGCAACAGGTTGGTGTACAAAAGGGGCAGTAAACTCTCCTCGCTGGAATAGTTATACCCTGAATATGGACTCGCTGTCCTTGCCACACGCTTCTGCCAGTGCCACTAAGTACAGACTTAAGAAATACCTCATTTATCATCATGATAATCAATGTAACACTGTATCTGATCAAGGAACTTATTAATAGCAAAAGAAATGTGGTAATATGCTCAAGCCCACTAAATCTGCTCATCAGCAAGTATGCCATCACCCAGAGACACCTGGCTTGATTGAAAGGAGGAATGGCCGACTGCAAACTCAGTCGTGCTGCAAGCTGGGAAACAACACAACGAAAAACTGGGTCCTATCTTACAACAACCAAGTGTATGCTTTGAATCAGTAAACAAAATATATGCTTTTGCCTGCCCCACAGTCAAAACACACAGGTCTGGTAATCAAGGGGTAGAAGTGGGAGTGACTGCCTCTCAGTATTATACCTAATAGCCCACTCACAAGATTTTTACTTCCAGTCTCCATGGCCCTGAGCTCTGCTGGAATGGGTCCAAGGAAGAAAGGTTTCCACCAGAGGACATAGCAAAAATTCCAGTTGGGGGGGATGAAGAGGATTACTCTACTGATTAAGAGTGAGTGATTCATGATCACCAAGGGAATATTACGTTGCTGTCAAACAGTGCAGACTGGGGCTACCCAGGAGATTCTCTGAAGAGCCTCACGGTATTTCCATATCTAAAAGCTAAAGTTAACAAAAATCTAAGCAACCAAGAAAAGTCTGGTTCAGATCCTTCAGGTACGTGACATCCCCAGAAAAGTACAAATCTGTGATTCAAGTTTATTTATAACAGTGGAACTTCTGAATCATAAGGATTCATGATACACATTTTTAAATGCCCTCAAAAAGGTAACCTCACCTACTGGCTAAAAGTTGCCCCTGTAACTGTACTCTGGATATAAGATAGTACTTTGGATATGATAGTGCAAGGTTTCTTCCCTTAATTTGACATTATGATGGACAGAAACAGTATTTGGTTATTTTAATTTGCATTTCTCTGATTAGACTTGAAGCTGAATATCTTTATGAATCTTTTTTACAGTACACAGATTAACTGTGTTATATACGATGCAACAATTTACAGACTTTCTTAGCATGAAATTTTATTTATGATTTGCGGGGGATACAAAAGTTTCTTAACTATATATAGCTAAACTATCACTATCTCCTTTCATGGTTTCTTTCATTCCTTTTCTGCTCAGAAAAGCTCTCCTTACCCATATTTAAGCATATTTTCTTCCAGCTGTTTACAGTTTCTTTCTCATATATAATTCTTTAATACATCTGGAATTGACTTTTGTATGGTATAAGCTGAGAAAATATTTTCCCACAGTTAACCAATTATACAAAGTAAACGTTTCTTTTTTTAAAAAAAAATCTTTCTTTTAAGATCAAAGCAGATTTTTTCCCCACTGATTACCATATTAATAGCAATGCTATGGGGAAACAAACAAAAAACCTCTGGGAAAACCTGATCCATCAGGAGGCACTGACATCGCAGGCTCACAGCAAAACTACACAATGAACTTATAAGACCATTCATCCCTCAAAGGGTTATCATTTCTAGAGACACACAAGACCCTATTTTATCTCCTGTCATTTTCAATATGAGTATGAAATCGTTTGGAGCAATAGGTGAACACTTGGGGGCTATCATATCATTTTTATCTAATCCTGACAGCTCAATTTCACTGCCTGTTGTACTAGATAGATCTGAGAGCTGACATCATAGAAACCGTGCTGAAATTTAATCCATAAAAGCCTGACGGTGATGATGGTAAGCAGGAAAAAATATCTACATAATGTAGCAAAGGTTAACGTGGGCTCTTGATAGGAGGTTTCAGTTCTCCGGCAGACAGGCAGCATCACGGTTAGCTCGGAAATACAGCTGCTAGTGGAGTTTCAAGGCACAGGTGTAGAAGGGAGAAGAGGTTTCTATACAAACTCATCACAGAGAATTTTAACATCTCGCTGACCTGAAGCCCGCCTCCCTTTCGCATACCTTTATATTCAACATTGCATTTTATATGCTCACTAGTGTAATACCTGGGCTGCAAAGCAAAAAGGAACAAATACCAACCATTCTTCCATAGTCTGGACTGGCTACCTATGTGAATTTGAAAGTAATTTATATTATTAATTTTAATCTACAAAGCCTAAACAAATCTGAGCTCTGACACACATATATCCCCATATCCCCTCCCTCTTGCGTCTCCCTCCCACCCTCCCTATCCCACCCCTCTAGGTGGTCACAAAGCACTGAGCTGATCTCCCTGTGCTACGCGGCTGCTTCCCACTAGCTATCTATTTTACATTTGGTAGTGTATATATGTCCATGCCACTCTCTCACTTCATCCCAGCTTCCCCGTGTCCTCAAGTCCATTCTCTACGTCTGCGTCTTTATTCCTGTCCTGCTCCTAGGTTCTTCAGAACAATTTGGTTTTTTTTAGATTCCATATATATGTGTTAGCAATTTTGCTTCTTGACCCGTAAATCCTAAAACATTTACTCTCTGTTTCCAGGAGAAGTTGTCTAGCTCCTAACCTAGATCCATCTCAGCAATTCTAGGATCTCCCCAGCATTCTACAACAAGTAAAAAGCCAGATCGAGAAACAGGCGATAAACCGTATGTTCAAAAGCACAGACCAGACAGTTTCAAAAACGTTAATCAAGAAGCATCAAAGGATGAAGGGAGGGACTTCCCTGGTGGTGCAGTGGTTGGGAGTCCGCCTGCCGATGCAGGGTACGCGGGTTCGTGCCCTGGTCCGGGAAGATCCCACACGCCGCGGAGCGGCTGGGCCTGTGAGCCATGGCCACTGAGCCTGCATGCCCGGAGCCTGCGCTCCACAATGGGAGAGGCCACAACAGTGAGAGGCCCGCGTCCGCAAAAAAAAAAAAAAAAAAAAAAAAGGATGAAGGGAACCTGAGGTGCATCAGAACAGCTTCTCCTTTTAGAGGAAGGAGGTGAGACCCAGATACAGTGAGAGATCTGCCTAGTCGAGAACCAGTCCATGTACTCCTGATCCCCGCCCCGCCTCTTCCTCTGCTTTTCTAGGCTGTTCCTCTGGGCTTTCAGCTACTCATTCCAGAAGCTCACACAAATAAGAACTATGACCAAACCGCCAGTCAAGAACGCCTTGCAAAAATGTAAACCAGAGCCAACTTTAACACCCTGCCTTGGACTGTATTCAGATCTAGGAAACTCCAAGCACTTCCCAACACCCTGCTTCAGTGTTTCCAAGCTGAGGTAACAAGTGAAACATTAAACCCTTGGAAAAATCTAGGAAAAAAATTTTGAATACCAGGTACATAGGGGCCAAGAAATACTACTAATAAAACTAATAAACAGGGGTCAAGTTGAAGTCATTGGTGAAACTGTCAGAGAAAATCTTACCGTGCTTGGCAGCTGAGCAGCAGCATCTCGTGGTTATGAATCAAAATATACAGAAGAACCAGGAAGGATTTTGCTCTGATGGATGTCGAGGGGCTGTCCAGTAAACGGATAATTGTAGAGACAAAATCCTGTGGGAGACATTAGAATATTTTTTGAGAAAACATGAAATAAATAGAGCAGTCAACTCTGAGGGTCAATAGACTGTAATAACCAAACAGATAGCAGAAAATAATATCAGCAATTGCTTTTGCATTTTTAATTTGTGCTGCTCCCTATACCAAGTTATTAATATGTATGATCTCATTTAAACCTGAAAAGAAGCTATGAAGAGTTGATAATATTATCCCTATTTTAAAGAGGAAAAGGAATCTTGAAAATTTAAGCACTTTGCCCCAATTCACAAAATTGAATTCAAATCCAGGCCAGGCAGATGACAAAGCCTGCTTCTTAACCCCTCCATCACAGGACTAGAAGCGTAGCAATTAATAGCTAGAACTGAAAGTCACAACTGCATGGAGGCATCAACTTCTGAGCAAACCTGCACACACAGAGATCACGTCTCTAGTCTACAAAGCTGAGGTCCTACAGACATAAAATAAAAACAACACCCAGGGCTTCCCTGGTGGCGCAGTGGTTGAGAGTCCGCCTGCCGATGCAGGGGA